AGTGGACCAACATTCCACAGGCCACAATCAACAACCTGATCAACTCTATGCGAAGGAGATGTGTTGCACTGCATGAGGCAAATGGTGGTCACACCAGATACTGACTGGTTTTCGGACCCCCCTCTCGGACCCCCAATACAGTAAAACTGCACATTTTAGAGTGGCCTTTTATTGTGGCCAGCCTAAGGCACACCTGTGCAATAATTATGCTGTCTAATCAGCATCTTGATATGCCACACCTGTGAGGTGAATAGATTATCTCGGCAAAGGAGAAGTGCTCACTAACACAGATTTAGACAGATTTGTGAACAATATTTGAGAGAAATAGGCCTTTTGTGTACAATAAAAAAAATTATTAGATCTTTGAGTTCAGCTCATGAAAAATGGGGGGCAAAAACAAAAGTGTTGCATTTATCATTTTGTTCAGTATATATATATATATATATATATATATATATATATATATATATACACACAAATCATTCAATCAATCAAATTCATATGAAATTTCCACCTAGTTAAGTAGTTACATTTTCTCATGAGATCAGGTTAAATCATTTTGCCATTGACAACATCCCCAAAGATTGGTTTTGTCAGATTTAGCACACTTCTGGGGACGGCGTGTCCTCAGAAGATAATTTGACAAGCTGTAGTCCACACTGACTTCATTTTGTAGACCTGTGAATGTGTGGTAGAGACTGAGGCGAAAAGTTTACTTGCAAAATGGACAGACGTGAAGAAATATGACTTATTTATGAGATTCAGTAGTGTTGTTGTTGATCAATAGCGTCCTGCCAGTCAAAGACATGAGACAGTGTTCAGATTCATTTTGATTTGTTTGTGGTGGAGCAGTCAAGTGCACTTCCGTAAGAAACATACTACATTCACCCATGTTAACGTTACATTGCCTATCTGTCTGCTAATCTATCGGCATACGTCTACAAAGTTATGAATATTGTAATGAACTTGTAGAATAACATTTAAGAAACATTGCCTGAAACCAAGTGTCTTGAAAACAAAAGATAACACAACTTTAAGTAAAACACTGCAGTACATTGATTATGTGACATTTATTAGACTCAATGAGCTGCAGAAATATCATGAACTTGTTATTTTTTTAAACCTTCCTTTTGTGTCCTTGTTATTTTAATAACCATACCGTCTTTCAGACAGCTGTATTAATTATTCAGCACTTCAGTTTTCAACACTTATATACGTGTCTATATGATCAGACAGCTATAGATATGATGCTTTTCAAATAAGCACAGCCAACAATATTCATAGTGTACAATATTAGGTTTATTATAAAGTTAGATTAAGAAACAAGTAAGAGCAGAGGCCAAATGTAGAGGGGAAAAAGAGAGAAAGAGCATGATTATTTTTATTTATTCTTTTTTTTGTCTAACTTTGTTCAAATGTTGTATATTCACTACAATGTAACAAGTTCAGTTGATTTCTTACATTTTTAAACAAACTATAATCAATTTGGTCAATTGTGGACATTTAAGTCAATTTCAACTTAAATTACATTAAACTGCCTTTAAAAATAGAGTTGAACCTTATATTATGTAATGCTCATATCATTTTTGGTTACACTTTACTTGAAGGGGTGTGCATAAGACTGACATAACACCTTCATAATCATGACATGACACCTACATAATCATGACATGATACAGGTCATGAATGTGAAGGTTTTTTATGCATATTTATGACAACTGTCATTAAGTGTCATTCGCTCAGTTATGTCATTTTTAATGCAAAGATGACATTGTTTGAGATGTCTTTGTTATGGGCTATGGTTAGGGGTAAGGGTAGGGGTAGGGTTAGGGTAGGGTTAGGCCAAATAATGTCATATTTGCATTAAAAATGACATAACTGAGCGAATGACACTTAATGACAGTTGTCATAAACATGCATACAACCTCCCTCATATTCATGACGTGTCATGTCATGATTA